CGTCAGCTTTTGTAATCGTTACGGTGGCCAATTTACCATTTCAACTTTGTTGATATATCCAAGTGATTTAAAACAGTTTATCTTATATCACAGACAAGACTACTTCTTAGCTAACTCGGTCACGCGGCTGAAAAGCAACCAGTGAAGAAAAAAGTGAACGATCTTCATTCGCTGGGTTTTTTTGGGTCAACTAATTTGGTTTGCGTGTTTCTTTTCATTCTTGCTGCGTACTAAGCTGAGAAATAGGGGAGACTCTTAGATTACGTAAATAGCAACTTCTGATTCAGAAGTCTGCGAATAGGGTTCTAACGATATTGCAGATGAGATATCACTTTTTCGCCAAAGGATCCACCGAAACGACTTATAGCAAGTATAATGATTTCCAGCTACCTGTTTGCCACAAACGTTTGTGTTATCTTTACGGAGCTCGCTCTGCTCAGTCTCAACATGACATCCGCGCAGTCCTACTGGCTCATCTCAGTCCTTTCTCACTCAGACAATATAACAAGCTGTTTTACGCGCGTTTATACATTTTTTTATCGTGTGGTGGTGGGTTGAACACTTAGGAATATTAACGATAATACAAGGCTTAAAGCCACTTAGTGAGGAACTGGTGCCTGAATGGTTCATGCTATTCTAACTACACTCTTCTTTTTCAGGGAATACTGAGAGTGCGCAAACGAGTCACATTGAGTGTAATAACTGTCAGTGTTATCTTTGGAATCTGCTGGATCACAGGTCTACTCATTTACGTCTTGAGTTACTATGACATCCTCGTGTTTGGTTCAGCTTCATACGTCATTGCTGACACCATGTTCATGGTTAATTCATCTGTTAACCCCTTCGTGTACGCGCTACTCAATGAACGTTTTAGGCAGAAGATCAAGACAATGTTACGCTGCACGTGTAAATCAAACGGGAACTCGCCTCCAACGCACAAGCCGTTAACGATATATTGCATCAAAAGTACCAACTAAATACTACCAAGTAAAAATCAAAGCTATTCATAGGAATTTATCATATTGGCGTTGCACATTTTGAAATATTTTACATATTGACCAAACCTGACTGACTTCCCACTTGTTATTATTATTTATTATTACTTATTATTAGATCCTGTCTGGAAAATAACTGCGTGGCGTTTAGGTTACTCTCACCATGTACTTAGAAAAATCAAGTTAGTAACATGACTAAAGTGGGTAAGTTTCTAAAGAAACTGTGGTGCTGCGTCGGTGCCGAGAGAGTGTAACAAGGCAATTTGGTTTTTTATCAACTGAGCTGATAATGTAAATTGGCCACCACATAGAGTTTCTACGCTGAAGTTTAGAGCCTTAGCCCCCTTCCTCTGAGCGAAAGACGAAGGGCTACCGCTTGAAACGTCTTATATTGGCGTCAACATCTCACCGATAAAGGTTGATTGCGCAACGTCTTATACATGAGCCAGAACTGACAGTAATTTTTTCGTTAGGATCAGTAGGTAGATGTGTCAAAGGCCGCCAAACAGCCTTTAAATGAAATAATATGTGTACCTCTTTTAGCCAGAAAAATCGATACGTTTCAATTTAGGGTATAGGTTCCTCTTTGAAGAATCAGTTGGAATGACGTACATACTGAAACTTTAAGTCTAACGCCTCTTCCTCCCTCGCTCATGTCTTGTATTTAAAAGTTTTATTTATCTGGCAATTTTTACATTTTACGTTTGCCTATTATTTGATTTTTGACTGGAAATAGCAACGATTAGAAATATTCATTGAAAACTTTATCGATTTCAAGTTCTAGAGACAGCGAAGGAACAACTTCATACCATCCCTGATAGTTTACTTTACAGGGTATTGTTACCCGAATGAAAACTTCATAAAATTCACGGAAGCTTCAATCATCTGCGAAATGATCTCAGACCTAAAATCCTTAGTATAATGACTCACGTAGTCATGGGCTCCAGCACATTGATGACGTCAGTCATGGTACATCGTGTAAGCGGATCCGGTGCGATGCACTGTTCAGCTAACTCTCTCAGATCCTTGTTGCACATCAGTACAATTTGTCGCTCTCTTTCAGCAGGATTAGGTGTTTGGTTTATGCAGAGTTCACAGAGGAGCACACCAAAACTATACACATCGATCTGTTAGGAAGCAAACAAGAAATTATGTGAAGTTGTTAGCATCTGAGCAACTGCACGCTCGCCCCGCCCCTCCCCTCCCCTAACATCAATCAACTGATAACAAGTAAGGGGGAATGTTGGGTTGGGGAGGGGTGGGTGGGTGCACAGTTACTCAGGTGCTGACCGGCATTAATCCAAATTTGTCCGTTTTCTTTTTCTTTTCTTTTCAGTTTTTAATTGAAAATAGAATCTTATTAATTGTGAGTAAAATGTTTCAGGGTTGGGGAAGAATGCCAAGCTAAGTAAGTCAACAAGTTTTTTTATCATTCGTGGGTTCAACTAGGTTACCCTGTGACTTATCCAAATAAAAAGCGATACTTATTGTCTGTCTTGTTACTTCAAACCAAAAAACTTGGAACGGGAAATCTCAGACATTGAACGAACGCAGTTTTTCTCTCTTTTCCAGCTCCGATCAATTCAAGGGATTTTTTTTCACTTCGTTATTATTTATCCCTTCACAATTATTATCACTTTTTTCACCTTGGGACACTGTCTTGAACTGTTTGCTTCTGGAGCAGAGTAAAACGGGTTTCCCGGATTCTCCGACATCCTGCTTCCCATGAATTCTGCTGACCCAAAATCGCAGAGTTTCCCGCGCCATTTGTCACCTTGGCGCCAAACCATGACATTGCCGCTGTTGACGTCACGATGGAGTATGGGATTGGGTCGAAAGCAGTGAAGATAGTTCAGACCATAAGCGACATCAAGCGCTAGAATCCTGATGTATCTGTTGCCTAAGGTTTTCTCATCTTTTACAAGTTGCGACAGGGACATATCCATGAGTTCTGCCACCAAGAGGGGTTTGCTAGTACGGTAGTCAGCCACGGCCAAGAACTGTAGAATACAAGGATGTCTCACTAAGGTGGCAAACGTGATTTCGCGATCGAAGAGGAGTCTGTTATGAGCTGACTGAATTATTTCGTGGATTTCTTTCACTGCCACTTTAGTTCCTCGAAAATTTCCTTCAAGGACTCTTCCCCACGCACCGGTACCCAGAACTTTTTCAGAGAGCTTTACTTCTTCTCCTGTGATCATCCATGGTTGATCTCCACGGAATATGTCGGTAGTTTTACGCGCTCTTTCAATTTCGCGTTCTAAGACGCGGTTGCGCCTTTGATATGTTTCTACATCCGCTTGAACGCGTTGCAAACGCTCTTCGCACGCACGCTTCTCGGCACGTAACTCATCATACGCGTTTCGGTGAGTTCTGCGCTCGTCCTGCCATTGCTTCTCAAGTCTTTCCAACCGATCAGAAGTCCCCTTTCTTGAGTTTTCTAACGTTTCCAAAGTCCTGTCCTTCTCCAAAAGCAAATTATCTTTGCGTTTAAGTTGATCTCGGAGCTCAATACTTTCATCTCGAGCTTGCTGCAATGCCTGGTCTTTTTCTTTTAGTCTTATCTCTAACTGGTCGAGATATGCCAAGCCTCTTTCCTTCTCTCTGTTTAATCGATCGACTGAAAACTTTCGTTCGAGACTGATTTTATCGCAGTATCTTTTCTCCTCTTGAATAGTTTCCTTTTCACGCTTTAAAGAGTTTATTTCGCGTTCTCTCTCGTTAAGGGTGCTAAGTTTTTCCTGCAGTTGTAGCTTAAAGCGTTCATTTTCTCTTTTAAGGGACTCAAGTTCAACTCTAACATCCAAGTCAGAATTAAATGCTCCGCTGGAATGATGGCCATTTTTCGTCTGCTTATTCAAATTTTCCATCGCGCTCTGCATTTCTTTCACAATCTCCTCTTGTTCGGCTTGCTGTTTCTGTAACAATTCAACTCGATCATTTGTTTCATTTAATAATCGTTCTTTTTCTCTGAGCTCTGACTCTTTTTCATCTATTCGTTGCATAAATGCGAGCGTTTTCTCATGAAAAGACTGAATAACAAATTCCTTTCCTTCAATGACTTGCTCCTTTTCCTCAATCCGCTCTAAGTGACGTTCTCGCTCATCAGTCAAACGGTCGAGAATTTTCCTTCCTCGTGAAAGAATTTCATTTTTTCCATGCAGTTCTATCATCAAATGTTTAATCTTTGTTTTCATGGCCTTCTTCTTACGGGGAATTTGCTTTTCTAAGTGTGCTTCGGAAAGTTCTTCATCAGTTTTGCTCTCCGTTTTAAAATCATCTTGCTTTTTCTCTTTCTTTTTGCTTTTGGTCTTAAGATTGTCAACTGACTCGTCGGTATCCGAGATTTCTTCACTAGGTACCGTGTTTTCTTCATTTTCCTTTTCAACAACTTGGAAAGTTTTCTCGACATCTGAGAAGTCCTGTGGGCCGAGTTCTTGACTGACTTCTCCCATTTGTTCAGGTTCTTTTATGCTCTGAAAGATAAGGTTTTTGTAAAAGCGTGTAACTGAATTTGTAGAATCTTTAACATTCACAAACCGTTCTTCGAATTTAATTCCCGTTCACGCAATGCTATGAAAAAACCCTAATGAAAACTGACGTGTGTGAGGCCGAAGGGGTTGATGTAAGCTAGCGTGGAAGTTGCCTCGCAATCCATGTTTATCATTTAAACATTTTTCGAGAACGAGAAATCTAAGTTTGGAATTAGACAGAAATGGGAAAACAAGTCGCGTTGTTCAAGGAATTATGAATTGCTCCTCGACTTGAAGAAGGAAGAGAAAAAGTTTAATTATGTAAGCTTTGCTAAAGTTTTTCAGCAAGCCGGGTCTGCTTTTGATATAGCTGCGTCCGGGTTTAAGTAATATCAAATGTTTAATGACTGAATTTGGCGGGGCCGGAGGGAAAATATTTGGCTTTCGGTCATGATGCATGAACCACCTTGCCGCGTCCTCAAGCCAAATGTATTTTCCTTGTCACGCGATCAGTTGGGCCTTCCCACTCTGCTAATAATAACATAGTATTTACCATAGTCAGTTTTTAATTGTTTCGTTGCGGAGAAGCACGTTTATGCTATTTTTGATGGTTTTTTTTATTTTTTTTAATTTTTTTATAATGGTCTCATGTATTTTCGGACGGAGCAGCTATTAAAGGACAATTAAAGAAGTGCTCGTGCAAATGGAACGCAAGAACAGAAATAACTTGTTAGCCACTGGTCAGCGGATGAGTTTTTTTTTAGAACAGCTCATCATGCCTAAATCAATTTCGATGCAGAATTGAAGTAATAAACATATAAAATGTCATATTCGGTTAGTCGCCGAGATTCAATTCTCATATAAAGCCTTAACAACTCTGTCACCTTCTTCGCTGAGCGCATCGTCTGAGCATCAAACTGGATTTAGTGAGTGTGGCGCATGTTAAAACTTCGGTTAACTATAGCGGAAACGATATATACTACTTTGAATTTGAATTTATCAAATACAGCTGTTAGAGGCCGCAAACTATAAGAATCATGACACTAAATATCTTAAGGGAGGGCACTTACCGTATTCCCCATGTCTGATTTCTCTCAATTCCTACAGTTGAAATCAGTCGCAATTCGGATTCTTTGGAGAAACAGATTTGTTACGTGGAAAGCAACTTCACTCGGCGTGGTTAACACACCCTTTAATTCTATCGCTCGCCCGTGAGAGTTGCACCAATAGTTGTCGTAACAACTCGCCAAGATGCACATCAACTGCCAGAGATCCGACGTGTGAACGTTAACGGAAAGTTTACTTCAGTCGCTTATTAATAACCTTTGAGAATTTTTTTCAAATGCTAATTATTATTAGCATTGCTTTGTAACACTGCATGGTTAACTTATCACGAACAAAAGACCTGCTCGTGTTTAAATTATGCATATCATGCTCAAAATACACGCTACGTAATCGGTATGGAAACAAAGCACACGGCGAGAACAACACTTAAAAATCTGGCCTGGGTTTCCACTTTTAAAACCTCTTCCTTTGACGTCATGGACTTCATTTTCCACCCACTCTCCAATTTACTAAATTCTCATGAAATTACCCTCTTAAAAACATAAAGAATTCGGTTGGGCCGCTTAAAATGGCATTTTCAACCACAAATTAGTTCAATGGGTCTTGAAGTGAAAAGCGCCAGGTTTTTTCAAGTATTCACGTCATCATGTTAGCAGACTCCGCCCTACACGGTGGTAGCCGTTGCTTAAGGCTGCATAGTCCGCACGCGCACCTGTTAGATCCGAAGTGAAGCGTAATCAGGTAGTACCACACCAACATTTTTTTAGTTTTTCTATGACGCATGAGTTCATAATGATAAATAGGAGTTTGGTTTTTATTTCTTTTCTCCACTGTCTTTTTGTATTCAAATTCCTTGAAATGACAAATAAACCCAACGTTATAATAAGACGATAAGATACTTAAAAGAGTAAAAAAAATCGCAGAGAGATCTTTCTCATAGCAAATTGTACTGGTGTTACCCCTAAGTTCAAAGTTACTCCGACACGTTCGTGACAATTAAGATATACTACGTAGGTTGTTATAACGTAGCTGTTCTTCCATTCAACGACACCAGTCCCTGCGCTCGTATGGATTCCGATTGCTGTGCCAGCACCGTGATGACTTCACTGACAGAAGGACGCGCCTCAGGGTCTGCCAGGACACACCGCATAATGAGCTCCCGGAGAACACCGTTCGTTACCAGGCCTATCTGTTGTTGGATCTGCTGTGGAACAGGAAGCTCTCTGATGCACATCTCGCATAGCAGTAAACCGTAACTATACACATCCGCCTGGAAAATACAACATGTCATAGTGACGCATAGTGGAACCTTAACAACCCAATTGCAACTAGAGAAAGTATACCCTGAATAGGAGTGTCCTTATCGATGAATTATCAGATACAAAAGGTAACTGGAGAAAACTTCTCAGTAGTTACCAAAGTTTTTATTCAGGAATGAAGACTTCCAAATATAGCTGGAAGTAATAAGCATGACAGGGCAGCAAAAGTAGGAGACAATAAAATAAAACAAGGGAGAACCAATGGAAATACACATCGCTAGCGGCAAACTCGAAACAATAACCAAAAGGGGTCTGAAGCTTCGCAGGGAACGTTTCCCAAACGATAGAATTCATGGCGGGAAATAATAACAAGTCTACATGTTCACCTTTGGAGATTGCTGGGAAGTAAGGGCCTCAGGGGCAGCGTAAATCCTGGCTCCTGGATTTACTGTCATGTATTGGCGCATGAAATTTGCTGCTCCGTAGTCTGAAAGCTTCGCCCTCCAACAGTCATCTCGTCTCCATAGCAACACGTTCGAGCTGCTGATGTCTCTATGTATGATGGGAAAAGGTTTGTTAAGATGGAGATAGTTGAGTCCTTTGGCGACATCCAAAGCGAGGCAGATGATCTCCTCTTGGTGTAGGGCGCGCTGTTCTAAAACTCTCCTCAAATCCGAATCGAGTAATTCGGTTATAAACAACGGGTTGCCATCATCATTTGTCGCCCCAATAAATTGTAACAGGTGTGGGTGACGGCATCGTGATGCGATACTCATTTCCCGCTCGAAAAGTCTGCGATTGTGGGGCGATAGAATCAAATCATGAATTTGTTTGACCGCAACTTGACAAGCGCGAAACGTTCCTCCGTAAACCTTTCCCCAGGCCCCTACACCCAAACTGTTTTCACTGAGTGTTACTTCCTCTCTTCGAATAATCCAGTCACGTGGCTCAAGGCGACGATATTCGGCCAAGGCCTCTTGCGCCACAGATACTGCTGATTGCAATTCTCGCAGCCGACGTTCGCTTTCGGACGCAGTTCGTTCGCTTTCAAGGATTCGTTGTTCATACTGTTGGCGCTCCCGCTCTAGGGTCTCTCTATCTTGTCGCACAATCACTCTTTCTTCATCCAGTTCTCTCTCCGTTGAGATGCGCCTGTTTCGCTCCTCTTCCACTTGAAGCTGTAAGTTCCTTAACCTTTCCTCTAGATCTCTCTTCTCCTCGCGTTCCTGCTGTAAAAGATTGAACTGTTCAGCAATAGTGTTCTGCTTTGTTTGAATGTCTTCTTGACTGGACTGACTCGATAGCCGTTCACTTTCCAGACTTCTCTCCAACTGGGTGCAAGCATTTCTAGCTTGCTGCAGCTTTTCTTCCAGCCTCAATCTTTCCTGTTGTTCGTCACTCAGTGTTCTTTGTATTTCGAGCAAGTTTGTCTCCTTCTCCCTTAGTTGCTGTTCTCTCATGTCGCGCACAGTTTTCTCTTCATCCAGCGCTCGACGAACACGAACAAGATCACTTTGAACTTTACGCGAATGGGAACCCGCTTCACGCTCTTGTTCGAGCTCGATTTGAAGCTGTCGCACAGAAACACGCTCTCTTTCTAATTCATTGTTAATCATAGCTAAATTAGCAGCTTGTTGCGTTAAAATGCGATCCTTCTCCACAACAGAGTTTTCTAAAACTCGAAGACGTTCTCTATCTGTGGAACAACTTATCTCTAAATCCCTCATTCGTCCGAGATGTCGTTCTTTCTCTGCCTCCATTTCTTGCAGCTTTCCCCTTTCTATTTCCAGCAGTTTCTGATGTTGTTGTAAGTTCTCTCTTTGTTCTTTGCTGTGCTGGTCCAGTAAGGTGATTTGTGACTGCATTTTTGTATGATGGAGAAGAATATCCAGCTTGACAGGTTCCAAACCAGTTGTTTCAGGTTTGTCCATGTTAGGGACCTCTGACGCCTTCCTTCGCCTGCTCCGAGTTTGTATGATGCTGTCTGCTGAGTCATTTTTTTCCTTCTGACATCCTGATTCAGTCTGTTTGAAGCCACTACAGTGAGATACCGGTTCCTTGGCCTGTAAGATAAAAAAAACAGACAATCATTTTTGACGAACGTCACCATCTCAGTTTTAAGGGTTACTTGCCACACAATACATGTATCACT